CACCGTATTTATATGGCTGTCCAGTTCAGTTTCGGGTCAATGGTAACCTAAAAATGTTGATAGTGTGGGATTCAGAGATGCCATTGAATGTCAAGGAGCAATGGTTAGTTGTTGCAGATGGCCATTGTCTGGCACTTGTGTGGCATAAATGTTACTCGCCAATGATTAAGCCAAGCCTGGACATTGTCTAGGTGCTGAACATTGTGTAATCATCAGCGAACATCCTCATTTCTCACCTTACGAAGGAAGGACAGTCATTGATGAAGCAGCTGAAGATTTTTGGGCACATCCCTGAGGAGCTCCTGCAGGGGTGTCCTAGGATTGTAGTGCTTGGCCTCCAAACATTACAGCAATCCTCATTTGTGTTAATTATGCAAGCATGCAAATATGCAAAATAAGTAGGCCATTCAATAATATCAAAGTTGATCTGTTTGTGTTTCCATTCCACACTGCCATCTACTCCCAATAACCTTTGATGTCCTTACCTAATATGAATCTATATCTGCCCTACAAAGAATAGTCAATGACCCCCACCCCCATTTCCTTCTGAGGCTAACACTGGAGGGTTTCTCCCTGATGCCCATAGACTCTAGTTTTGCTAGGACTCCTTGATGCCACACTGACTCAAATATTACCTCGATGTCAAGGAGCTTCACTCTCAATTCCCCTCCAGAGTTCTGCTATTTTTTCCCGTGGTTGGACTGAAGCTGCTATGAAGTCATAGCAGTGGCCCTGGTGGAACACAGATTGAGGGTTAATGAGCAGGCTAATGCTGAGTAAGTGCACTTTTTGTGTGATTAATGACCGTTTCCATCACTTTACAGAAAATCGAAAGTAGACAGATGGGGCAGTAATTGGCCTGGCTAGATTTGTTTCGCATTTAGTGGGGAGGATAGACCTGGGTAGTTTACAGCAAAAACAGAAATTGAGCATTTACGGATCTAGCGACCCTTCTTCAATTCCAAAACGTTAACTCTGCTTTTTCTTCACAGATGCTGCCAGACCTGCTGAGATTCCCCAGCAATTTCTGTTTTTGCTTCTGATTTCCAGCATTTGCAGTGCTTTGGTTTTTTTAAGGTAATTTAGAAGATTGTTGGGTGGATGCCAGTGTTGCTGCTATACTGGAATAGTTCAGCTTGGGGAAACAGCTAACTTTGGAGCCAACATCTTCAGTATTAATGGTATAATATTGCCAGGCACATTATGTGGATATCACATGGAGTGAATTGAATTGGCTGAGATTGCCATCTGTGATGCTGTGGATCTTGTGGAGTCTCTCCTCCAGTGAGCTGTTTAAGTGTCCACCATCATTCACAATTGGATGTGTCAGGACTGCAGAGTTTAGATTTGATTCAGATACAGAAAATGCAGAAGTAACTCAGCAGGTTTCGCAGCATCTCTGGAGAAAGAGAAACACCAAAGATCAAGGCAAACTCAAGGAACATCAACTTCATTAATGTTTCACGTCCAATATGACTGAAATATTAACACTGTTTCTCTCTCCACATGCTGAGTTTCTCCAACATTTTCTGTATGTGCTTCAGATTTGCAGCATCCATAGAATTTTACTTTTATTGGATCTGACATGTTGGTTGGAGGTTTCTATCTCCTAACTCATTCTGTTCATTAAAATCTACTTCGTTGGTGTAGCTTTAGATCATCCTAATCTGTACAAGTGGCTCAGAGCCAAACTTTGCCTGATAATTGTCCTCTGAAGTGTTTTATTATGTTAAAGGAACTATATAAATACAGGTAACAAGGTGTGGAGCTGGGCCTAGACCCTTCTTCAGAAAAATTTCAGTCTAGGCCCAAAACGTCAGCTTTCCTGCTCCTCTGATGCTGCTTGGCCTGCTGTGTTCATCCAGCTCTACACCTTGTTATCTCAGATTCTCCAGCATCTGCAGTTCCTACTATCTCTGAATCAGAAGTCACATATAGGCCAGGCCAGGGAAGAATGGCAGTTTTCCTTCTGTGAAGGACATTGGTAGGCCAGTTTGGTTTTTTGGACAATTGGCAGTAGGTGTTTTATTCGTTCATTGGATGAGGGCATTACTGGCTAGGCCAGCATTTATTGCCTATACCTAACTTCTCAGAGGGCAGTTAAAAATCAACCACAGTGCTGTGGGTCTGGGTCTGAAGTCACATTTAGGCTAGACCAGGTAAGTGTGGCAGATTTCCTTCTCTAAAGGTCATTAGTGAATCAGATGGGTCTTTCCAACAATCAGCAATGGCTTCATGGTCATCAGTAGATTCTTAATTCCATTTTTTTTAAAAATTGTATTCAAAATCCACCATCTGACGTGGCAGAATTTGAACTTGGTTCCCCAGAACATTAGTTGAGTTTTTGGTTTAATAGTCTAAGGATAATACCACTAGGCCATTACCTCTCCATACATAAGCTGATCATTTAGAATCATAGAATCCCTACAGTGCAGGAAGAGACCATTTGGCCCGCCGAGTCTGTACCAGCCATCAGAAGAGCATCCCACCCAGACCCATCACCCCACCGTATCCCCATAACCCACTCATTCTACCCAATCTACCTAACCAGCACATCTTTGGTCTGTGGGAGGAAACCAGGGCAACTGGAAGAAACCCATGCAGATGCAGGGAGAATGTGCAAACTCCACACAGTCAGTCACCTAAGGCTGAAATCAAATCTGGGTCCCTGGTGCTGTGAGGCAGTTTCCCTTTCCTTTCTGTTTAACTGCTCTGCAATACTTCACCTCCTCCTCCCCTTACTGTGCCTCCTGTTTCACTAGGTGGAGTGGGATGGAGTCATTGGGAAGAGGAAGTGGTGGATGGTTTGGTCACAATTCCACCCCATGTGGCTCCCGTAAACTCACTTTTTTCTCTTCTGAGAGTGTTAAGTGTTAAAATCATGATGGTTGCCACAAAGTATAGAGCAGGTTATGAAAAACGACTCCCCGTTCACTGCACACCACCACTCTATCCCAATCCTATTCACAGCCAAAGGTTCCTGCAGTTAATGCCATTACATTGGCAATTATTTAGAATTTTATTTCTACCCACATTCTCCATGATTTGACTTTCAACAAAGGGTTTGACAGCTTTAGCCACAATCTAACCATTGCTTTTTGGGGTCAATTTTACTGCAGTTTTGCGTCCCACGTAACTCGCCATAATTCAGTAATTTCTGAAATTTTGTTCCTCCCAATTCCCTCCTTGATCTTCTTAAGGATCCTCCAAAATCCACATAAAAATTATGGGTTGTTGCCTCCCACCTGTTTCTTCCACCTCAACCTCTTCATCAATTTTAATCATGTCAAATTAGTTATCTAATTTTAATGCTCACACTTAACTAATACCATTCCCAACCCTCCCTTAACCCTAACTCTTATTCTAACCCTAAAGTTATTTCCAACCTAACGCTACTTTGAAGTTTAACCTTAGGGCTTATCATAACCTTTATCCTAATCCTAACCGAAACTCTAACCTTAAGTTCAACCTCACCATTCCAATTATAACTTTCATTCAATACTAACCCTATTCCAACTCAACCATTATCAAAATTTTGAGAGTAATCTTTGAATATGTTAGCAGGGTTTGGAAAACTTGAGAAAAATGAAAATGTTTTCCCTGAAGAATTATTTAAATATAAAAGTTAGGCATTTTGTTTGATAAATGCAAGGCATAAAGGTTTTTGTTCTTGTGAGTTTTGAATATTGTCTATTTAAAATATGCAATTTGGGAATTTGAAAAAAGTTCAACATTATTCTTGATATTACCTGAGATAACCACAAATATAATAAAATGTTTAAATGTTAATTAAATGTTTAAAATTATAGTTAGCCTCAGTCAAATGAAACCCTATTTTTTATTTCACCGAGTGACCATAGTGAAGTTTAAATTGATTAATTACTGTATATACTCATGCAAAAGTTGAATTTTTAGACTTTTTTTTAAGGTTAAATTTATGGGGCCGACTATTACATGGATACTATTTTTGAGGGGCTGAATTTCATGCTACAGTCCAAAATACCACATCATCAGCAGAAGCTCAGTTGATCGCTAAACTAATAAAGAAAAAAAACACAATGAATTACGATCATTACCAAATAAAGACAATAGAAACAAAAAAATGAATAAGTGAACTTTTATTTATGCATACAAAAAGTGAAATAGAAATATAATATGGCTTTAAATTACAATTATATGGTACATCTTAAATTAAAGATGTCACATACAAAAGTTTATTAAAATCCTTGAAAATCACTCTGTTCAACAAGTAAATGCATATGGGCCTATCTTACGTGGGAAATGATGGTGTGATAAACTTTGTATGACACTAATTATCTAATTATAGTACGCATATGATAATGAACTTAAGAAATCCCTAGCCTAATGTTGGTGTGAATTGTACAGTAAAACACATAATAGCATGAAAAAAAATTAATTTCCTCATCATAATATTTAGGTACTGAATAATACCTTGACTCACAAATGTTGATCTGTTATCTGTGAAGAACTAGGGTTGACTTCTACACGAGATATATGGACAATTCCAGATTTTTTGGCCAAAAATAGGGGACCAACTTTTACATGAGATTGACTTTTACTCGAGTATGTACAGTAGTTTTAAAGAAAAATTAACTTGAAACTGCCAAATATCCTTGTGTAAAAGGTAGATTTCCCTTCAAACAAAAGCATGAAATCTTTTGACCCTGTATAATTCCTGTTTGAAGCAGGTAATTTCCCCTCCTTTTGCAAGGAGGCTTATCCAGAATCTTCTAAATGTGCTTCATTGGGAAATACATTTTTTTAGACAAACATCTTTTGGATTTAGCATTGCAGCCCAGGAATGATAAAAAGGCTCCCAAAAAGGGTGATCTAATCTGAAAGTCAATCAAACCATAGCATCTTAACTATTGCATTTGTAATAAAAAGTCAATGTTTGACCACTGGTTTAAGTGGCTGTAAAATGTAAACTCAAGATAGTGAACAAATTTTTTCCTGCTTTTGCTTCACAGGCTAAAGGGATGTTTACAGTGACCGAGTTCAAATGGTTGACAGATCCTCAGACAGCCTACCGCATTTTAAAGCCATGGTGGGATGTTTTCAGTCATTATATCTGCATGGTGATGCTCTTGATTTCTCTGCTAGGGGGAACGCTCCAAATTGCTCAGAATAAAATGCTATGTCTTCCTTGCAAGGTAATTGTCAACAACAATTGCAAGGCCCCCTGGGAGAGTAATACCAGCACTCCAGCAAATAAAACTCCTGTTATAAATGGGATAAGAAATCTTCTTGATAGGCAACAATACTCATACATCGATGCTGTGTGTTACGAGAAGCAGCTCCATTGGTTTTCCAAGTTCTTCCCCTACCTGGTGCTCTGGCAGACTCTGCTCCTTTTGATTTGCAGCAACTTCTGGTTCAAGTACCCCAGCACCAGCTCAAGGCTCGAGCACTTCATCACCATCCTCCACAAGTGCTTCGACTCCCCGTGGACTACCCGTGCTCTGTCTGAGGCAGTTGAGATCAGTGGAGAGAAGCACCCTTACCGCAAAACCAAAGAAGCATCTAAAGTATCTTTCTCCACCACGAACTTTGAATCGAAATTGTTGACGAGCAGAGTGGAGCCCAACTTGGCTGATGCCAATGAGAAGACCATCCTGGATCGAAAGGAAGGGGAGCAGGCAAAAGCTATCTTTGAAAAGGTGAAGAAGTTCAAAGCACATGTTGAAGAAAAGGACATTATCTACAGGCTGTACATGAGACAGATTATTATCAAAGTCATTATATTCATTTTTATCATTTCATATATCCCCTATTATATTATTGAGATGAACTTTGATATCAATTGTAAAGTTGACATACAGATGTTTACAGGATATCAACAATATCGTTGTGTCCATTCCTTGGCAACAATATTTAAACTCTTAGCATCCTTTTATGCAATACTGGTTGTGTTACATGGATCTTTTAGTGTCTACAGTCTATATTGGATGCTCAGACGCTCACTGAAGAAATATTCTTTTGAAAGTGTTCGTGAGGAAAGTAGCTACAGGGACATTCCGGATATTAGAAACGATTTTGCCTTCATTCTTCACCTTTCAGACCAGTATGATCCATTGTATTCAAAGCGATTCTCAGTCTTCCTTTCAGAGGTCAGTGAAAACAAGTTGAAACAGATTAACCTTAACCTGGAGTGGACAGCAGAGAGGCTAAGGCATAAACTACAGAAGAACTTGCAGGACAAAACAGAGCTGTACCTGTTCATGTTAAGTGGACTCCCAGATGCTGTATTTGAGCTGAAAGAACTTGAAACTCTTAAACTAGATCTTCTAACTGAAGCCAAATTCCAAACAGCCATGTCTCAGCTTACCAACCTTAAAGAGTTACACCTTTACCACACACCAACCACTGTGGACCCACAGGCACTGAATTGTTTATCTGAAAATCTGCAAGCATTGCACGTCAAGTTTACTGACATGGATAAAGCCCCACGCTGGATATTTAATCTAAAGAACCTGACAGAACTTCATTTAACTGGTAACTTAAAAATGGAAAAGAATCACTTTGTGTCTTTAAGTGGACTGGAGAATCTAAAGAATCTAAAAGTTCTCTACTTGAAAAATAGTCTTCCTCACATTCCAGCAATAGTAACTGGCTCAGGACTCCTCTTAAACAAACTGTCCATTGATAATGAAGGTACCAAACTAACTGTGTTCAATACCTTGAAGAATATGGTAAACCTCACAAACCTTGAACTCCTTAACTGTGACCTAGAGCGCATTCCACATTCTATTTTTAGCTTGTACAATTTACGTGAAATTGATCTGAAAGGCAACAGACTTAAGACAATTGAAGAAATTATCAGTTTCCAGCACCTGAAATGGCTTTCTTGCCTCAAGCTTTGGCACAATGCTATTGCATATATACCTGTTCAAATTGGGACACTGGTAAATCTGGAACAGCTGTACCTCAACAATAACAGAATTGAAAACATACCATCACAACTTTTTTTATGCCACAAGTTACGGCTTTTGGATTTCAGCAATAATCACCTAACTGCTATTGGTGATGAAATCAGTGAACTGAAGCATCTACAACATCTTAATGTCTCCAATAACAATGTAAGTAAATTTGTCCAGTTATTGTTAAAAGAACTGTATCATACGATTATGTAATCTCATTCGTTTGAAAAATCTCCACCCTCTATTCGAAGTTTGATTAATTGAATCCTCCTCATCACTTCTAACTCTCCAATCTGGATGATTTTTTTATGGCTACTTACGGGTAGTTAGGGTTAGATTTACTCTTGAACTCTTGCCCAGGATCCTGCATTCAAGGGCAACTCTAGAGATTTGAGCACAGAATCTCAGCTCCTGCAGTACCAAGGGACTGCTACATAGTTAGAAGTGCTGTTCTTCAGGGGTAGTGTTAAAAGACTGTAAGATGTAGGAGCCAAAGTAGGCCATTCAGCCCATCAAGTCTGCTTTACCATTCAATGAGATCATGGCTGATCTGATAATCCTCAAATTCTCTTTCCTGCCTTCTCCCTATAACCCTTGATTTCCTTACATAGAGTCATAGAGTCAAGCAGCATGGAAAAAAAGCCTTTGGGCCAACTCATCTATGCCAATCAGGTTTCCCAAACTAAACTAGTTCCATTTGTCTATGTTGGTCCATATCCTTCTAAACCATTCCTATCCATGTACCTGTCCAAATGTCTTTTAAATGTTGTAATTGTACCTATATCTACCACTTCCTCTGGCAGTTCATTTCATACATGCAACACCCTCTGTATGAAAAATTTGCCCCTCAGGTCCCTTTTAAATCATGCACCTTTCACCTTAAACTTACACCCTCTAGTTTTGAACTCCCCTATCCTGGAGAAAAGATCTTTGCTATTTACCTTATCTATGCCCCTCATAATTTTATAAACCTCTATAAGGTCACCCCTCAACCTCTTAGGCTCCAGTGAAAAAAGTCCAAGCCTAATGGCAAATGGGACTAGATTAATTTACGATATCTGATAGGCATGGATGAATTGGACCAAAGGATCTGTTTCCGTGCTGCACATCTCTATGACTCTATCCAGCATCTCCTGTGACTTAAACCCTCCAGTCCCAGTAACAATCTTGCAAATCTTTTCTCTATCCTTTCAAATTTAATAACATCCTTCCTATAGCAGGGTGACCAGAACTGTACGCAGTACAACAAAAGTGGCCTCACCAATGTCCTGTACATCCGCAACATGACATCCCAACTCCTATACTCAATGCCCTGACCAATGAAGGCAAGCATACCAAGCTCTTCTTCACCACCCTGTCTACCTGCATGCCACTTTCAAGGAACTATGCACCTGCACCCCTAGGTCTCTCTGCTCAACAACATGCCCTAGGACCCTACCATTAGTGATGTAAGTCCTGCCCTGGTTTGCATTACCAAATTGAAACATTTTATATTTATCTAAATTAAACTCATCCGCCATTCCTCAGTCCATTGGCCCAGCTGATCAAGATTCTATTGTACTCCTTGATAATCTTCTTCACTGTACACTATACCACCAATTTTGGTGTCATCCAAAACTTATTAACTGTGCTCCCTATATTTTCATCCAAATTGTTTCTATAAATGCCAAAAAGCAGTGGACCCAGTATCAAACCCTATGGACACTGTTGGTCACTGGCCTCCAGTCCTAGACACAATCCTTTACCATCTGTCTCCTACCATCAAGCTAATTTTGTATGAGATTGGTTAGCTCTCTCTGGATCCTATGTGGTCTAAATTTACTCACCACTCTACCATGCAGAACCTTGTCAAAGGCCTTGCTAAAGTCCATGTAGTCAATGTAGTCCTCTACCCTCATCTATCTTCTTTGAGACATCCCCAAAAGACTCTCAGGTTTGTGAGACACGACTTCCCTCACACAAAACCATGCTGACTATTCCTAACCAGTCCTTGCCTCGCTAAATGCATGTAAAGTCTGTCCCTCAGAAACCCCTCCAAACAGCTTACCCACCATTGACATCAGATTTGAGCTTCTGACCTCATTTGTGTCATGGCTAAGACAACACATACCCTTCTCTATGCATCACTTAATTTCATCTCTGTCTCATCACATCTGCAGCTGAAACTCTCATTCAAAGAATCCTTACAGTGCATTTAGAGGCCATCCAGCCCATCGAATCTGCACTGACCCTCTGAACAGCATCCCACCCAGTTCCTGTAACCGTGTATTTACCATAGCCAATCCACCCAGCCTGCACATCTTCAGACTGTGGAAGGAAACCAGAGCACCCAGAAGAAGCCCTCACAAACATTGGGAGAACATACAAACTCTACACAGTCACCCAAGGCTGGAATTGAACCTAGATCTTTTGCATTGCAAGGCAACAGTGCTAACCACTGAGCCACTCATGCCTTTGTTAACTCTAGACTCATATATTCTCATGCTTCCTTGGCTGGTCTCCCACATTTTACCCTTAGGACCATTGAACTAATTCAAAGATCTACTGAGCATGATTCAGCTGGTACCAAGTTCCATTCACCCATCACCTTGATCACCTAAACTGCACTGTCTCAAACAATATCTTGATCTTAAAATTTTTATCTTTGTTTTCCAAATCCTTCTATAACCTCACCCTTCCCTATCTCTGTTATCACTTCCAGCTCTTCTTCTCCAATTCTGCTTGTTCTAGCATTCCTGATTTCAATTACTGCGTCATTGTAGGTGTTGCCTTCAGCTGCCTAGGTCCCAGGATCTGGAATTCACCCCTAAACCTTTCCTCCCCTGTGCCTTGCTTTCTTTTAGAGTCATAGAGCCATACAGGACGGAAACAGACCCTTTGGTTCAACCAGCCCATGCCAAACATAATCCCAAACTAAACTAGTCCCACCTGCCTGCTCCTGGCCCATATCCCTCCAAACTCTTCCTATTCATGTATTTACCCAAGTGTCTTTTAAACATTGTAATTGTGCCCACACCCACAATTCCTCAGGAAGATCACTCCACAGGCGAACCACCCTCTGCCTAAAAAAATTGCCCCTCATGTCTGTTTAAAGTCTGTCTCCTCTCACCTTAAAAAAATGTGTCTCGTCGTCTTGAAATCCCCCGTCCTTGACCTAGCATTCAATTATCTGACCTAATGTGCCCTGTTGTGGCTCGGTGTTATTTTTTTCTCATTAAATGGTAGAACCACAGAGTGATTACAGAACAGTAGAAGGCCATTCAACCGATCATGTCAGTCCTGACTGTTTGGAGGAGCAATTTACTGAACGACATTCCCCACCTTCTCAGCTTTGCCCTGTACTTTCTTCCCTTCCAGATAATAATCCAACTGCTTCTTGAATCCTTCCATTGGATCGGCCTCCACTACAATCTCAGACAATGCATTCCAGATCCAAACTACTTGCCACGTGAAAAAGGATTTTCCTCATGTCACTATTGCTTGTTTTGCCAATTACTTTGAATCTGCACCTTCTGATCCTTGATCTTTCCACCAGTAGGGACATGTTCCTCCTTATCTGTCCAGACTTCTTATATTGAATGCCTCTATTCAATCTCGTCTCAACTCTCCCTTCTCTGAGGAAAACAGTCGTCCCCTTTTCAATCTGTCCATGTGACTAATGTTCTTCATCCCTGAAACATTTCTTGTGATTAGTTTCTGCACCCTCGTGCACGTCTTCATTTCCTTTCCTGCTAAAGGAAAGATGTTGTTAAATTTGAAAGGCTGCAGAAAGGAGTTACAAGGATGTTGCTGGGATTGGAGTTTTTGAGCTATAAGGAGAGGCTGAATAGGCTGGGGCTATTTTCCCTGGAGTTTTGGAGGATGAGGAATGACCATATAGAAGTTTATAAAATCATGAGGGACATGGATAGGGTGAATAGCTAAGGTCTTTTTCCCAGGTTGGGGGAGTCCAAAACTAGAAGACATAGCTTTAAGGTGAGCGGGGAAAGATTTAAACGGGACCTAAAGGGCAACTTCTTCACACAGACGGTGGTGTGTGTATGGAATGAGCTGCCAAAGGAAATGGTGGAAGTTGGTACAATTACAACATTTAAAAGGCATCTGGATGGGTACTTGAATAGGAAGGGTTTAGAGGAATATGGGTGAAATGCTGGCAAATGGGACTAGACTTATTTAGGATATCTGGTTGGCATGGATGAGTTGGACAGAAGGGTCTGTTTCCATGCCATACAGCTCTATGACTCCACAACTATGACTCTAAGTGTGGAGCTCTGAACTGGAATAATACTGAGGCCAAACCAGTGTTTTCACAAGTTAACGTTTCGGGTCCGGTGACCCTTCCTCAGTTCCTCACTGATGCCTTACGCCTTATTTACCACTTTATCCACTTATGATGCCCCTTTCAGGGAGCTACGGACTTACCCCCCAGGATCCATCCATATGTGCAAAAGCAGGAATAGGAGACACAATGTTGAAAGTTTTATAACATCAAGTGGAAATGTCATATTGGAATCTCTGTCTATGCAGTAGACGCATTCATAAGCAAGGAATAACCATTTAGCAAACTGTAATAACTTCCTTCTGGTGTCTTGTTGTTTATTTAAAGCCATCATAGGCAGTTCCTGTCTCCAGATGAATAAGGACTCCAGATCTAGTTGCTCCAGTTGCTTTTTCTCCACTCATGATTTTTCAATTAAGTGCTACGAATTGACAATCATTCCTTGATAATGGGATGGTGCAATGATTCCCATCAGAAATCTTTATTAAAGGGCCTTCACAAGGACAAAGATTATTTTTCTTTGCAACAAGTGAGAAAAACAGAATCTGCACCCAAAACAAGAGCCGCAAGAAAGGACTGGAACCTGTTGCCAACAGAGCAGGACAACAATTAGAAATGATTGTTCCATAAACTTTGACATTTATCATTGTTTCCATGTATTGTTCTCCATTTATACAGAACTTAGAACAACACTGTACAGGAACAAGCCCTTCAGACCACATGTCTGTGCAGACCACAATGACTAAAACTAACTCCACCTGCCTGCATTTGGTCCATATCCCTCTATTCCCTGTCTGTTTATGTGCCTGTCCAAATGCCTCTTACACATTGTTAATGTATCTGCTTCTACCACATCCCCTGGCGGAGCATTCCAGGCACTGACCACCCTCTGTGTAAAAAGACTTTCCTCATGCATCTCCTCTTTAAGCTTTCACCCTCTCACCTTAAACCTATGCCTCTAGTATTTGACATTTCCACCCTGGGAAGAAAACTCTAACTATCCACGCTATCCATGCCTCTCATCATCTTATATACTTCTATCAGATCACCCCTCAGCCTCTGATGCTTTAGCAGAAACAATCCAAGTTTGTCCACCCACTCCAATCCAGGCAACATTCTGGTAAATCTCGTCTGTGCCATCCCCAAAACCTCCACATCCTTCCCGTAGTGTGGCCACCAAAACTCCAAATGTGACCTAACTAAAGTTTTATACAGCTGCAACATAACTTGCTAACTTTTATATCAATGCCCTCACTGATGCCTTACGCCTTATTTACCACTTTATCCACTTATGATGCCCCTTTCAGGGAGCTACGGACTTACCCCCCAGGATCCATCCATATGTGCATGCTCCTAAGGGTCCTGCTATTTTTAGTATTGTGTCCCCTTGCATTTGACCTCCCAAAATGAATTACTTCACACATGCCCAGATTAAACTCCATCTGCCCAATTTTCCAACTGATCTATATCCTGGTGTATCCTTTGATAACCTTCTTCTCAATCCACAATTCCATCAATTTTCTTCTGCAATCTTACTAATCAGACACCTACATTTTCATTCAAATCATTTATATATATTACAAACAACGGAGATCCCAGCACCGATCATTGTGGAACACCACTGGCTGCAGAACTCCAGTCAGAAAAACACCCCTCCACAACTACCCTCTGTTTTCTATGACCAAGCTAATTTTGTATCCAATTGACCAACTCACCATGGATCCCATGTGACTTAATATTCTGGAACAGCCTACCATGAGGGACCTTGTCAAATGCTTTAGTAAAGTCCATGTAGACAATCCTCTCTCTCCATGATCTTACACAGGTGTCAATTCAGCTCTTCATAGTTACACAGCCTGGTCCTTCATCAATGCTCTTCAAGACCCTAGGGATGTTGATCTCTACATGGCTGCAGGCTTAAGGTGCTGTAGGATCTGATTGAACAAGAAACTTACTGGGCAGCCCACCAGTATCTAATTGGTTCTTTGATCCAGTGAGCTTTCTCATTGGTCGGGATGGGAATTTCGTCACCCCTGAAGTCACCTGCACCCACACTTACTGCACAGAGCATTAAATTCCAATCAGGAGCTAGCCATTTGGCCCTATTATCCTGCATTTATATACAGGGTCCACCCCAGCCACCCTACTTCGTTGCACCCTATCCCTTTTTCCCTTGTTCAGATATCTAGCTTTTTACAGATCTTTCAATTGTACGGAAAGTATTAAATTCACTCTGACAACCTACTGTGAGTCATAGAGACATAGAGCATGGAAACAGACCCTTCGGCCCAAGTCGTCCATGCTGACTAAGTTTCCAAAACTGAACTAAACTGCCTGAGTTTGGCCCATATCTCTCTAAACCTTTCCTATTCATGTACCTATGTAAATGTCTTTTAAATGGTGTAACTGTACCTGCATTACCATTTCCTCTGGCAGCTCGTTCAATATACGCACCACTCTCTGTGTGAAAAAGTTGCCCCTCAGGTCCCTTTTAAATTTTTCTCCTCTCACCTTAAAAATATGTGCCCTAATTTTGAACTTTCCCATCTTAGGGAAAAGACCTTTGCTATTCAACTTATCTATGCCCCTCATGATTTTATCAAACTCTACAAGGAGCAACATCCTACGCTCTGGTGAAAGAAGTCCCAGCCTATCCAGCCTCTCCTTATAACTCAAATCCAGTCCTGCTAACATCCTTGTAAATGTCTTCTCAATCATCTCAAACCTGATAATATCATTCCTATATATGCATGATCTCAGATTATTAGTATATAAGACCTAACCACAGCAAATCTATTCCACAAACTCAAAACCTGGACTGCTCATCCTCATCGTTCTCGTTGCAGATGCATCAAACATTCAGACAGTGCATTCCAAATCTGTTACAATACAGTGACAGGTCAGGAACACAGATAGTCACTGATGCATCAACCCAATACAATTTTATTTCTTTGACAAAATAAGTTTTGGAATAATAGTTGTGCATACCTCCTTAATGTAATATCCTTCAATGGCACATCTGTTGGAGCTAAAATTAGAATTAGAATTGGCTTTATTGTCACATGTACTTACGTGAGTGCAGTAAAAAGTTTACAAGTCACGACTTAAGGTGCCATCCTAGATACAGATGTACCTAGGTACAGATTCTTATGTACAAATGCTGAGGAAAAATTTAGGAAAATGAAGAAATAAAAAGTCAAGAATTACAGATCTTTGCGCCATTTTAAATACAAAAGTACAAAATCATAGATTAGAAAAATAAAGGAGTAAAAAGTTCATGAGAATAGTCTTTCCAACCCAGACTATGCAGAGCCTCACCTCCAGTCCGTGCTGAGCCTCACCTCCAGACCATATCCACCTCACGTCCAGACTGTGCCCACCTCACCTCCAGACCGTGCTGAGCCTCACCTCCAGACCGTGCCCACC